TTCTCGGGGGCTTCGTGGGGCTCGGGCTCCAGCGAGAGTGGCACGTCCTTGGCACCCCTCGCCCCACGCATCGTCACCTGGAGGGCTCTGCAGGTCCTCATGTCGCATCCAGGACATCCTGTATCCAGGATGAGGGCAGGAAGAGGCAGCAGGCGCCGGGAAGCCAAGTGATTTGGGAGGGTTATATGGGAAGCCCGTGGCAGAGCACGGCCCAGCCGGGAGGGCTCCAATATCCTCGGAGCTCCAAGATGCGGAGCAGCAGCCCCGAGCAAGGGCAGCGGAGCCACCCCAGACCCCCCGGAGCTGCTGGCAGCCGCTGCGGGCTTGCGGGCTGGTCAGAGCCGGCTCCCGCGTTAGCCTCCCATCCATCCCCATGAGCGCGCCAGGGATCCCTGTCTGCTCCCGTTTCCCGTTGCAGCTCCCCGGGGTCCCGGCTCAGAGCCGCGCTCCAGCAGGGCCTGCGCACATCCCTAAGGAGCCCCATGCTGGAGAAGCCGGGCGGACTTGTGGTTGGCACCAAAGCCTACGCACAGCGGCAGCCTCGCCGCTGATTCACCGGTCTTCTCCGGACCAACAAGCCGGCTGAGCTGTCTTAACACAACCTGACAGTCAAAAAGCCAGTTCTAACCCCAGGTCTACACATGTCCTTCACCGGAGAGACGGGCAGAAAGATCCCTAGTGGCTTGAATGCCACTGCTCTTATCTTGCTGCTTCCTGCCCCCTGAGCTCCAGGGAGGCAGACGCCGCAGAGGCCCGGCCTCGCTATCGCCACGTCTTCAGGAAAGCCAGGAATAGCATCCACGACAGACGCGCCAGCACCGAGGCACCTGCTCCAACCGCTTCCAAGACTATCGGCTCTGCTCCAGAAAAGGAAGGTGTCTCCGGAGGTGAGAGGTTGCAAACGGCGGCGGCGGGAGGGGACAGTCAATACAAGCGAGCGAAGCAGGAAGGGAAAGAAATCAAGGCTGGGATCTCCGTGAAGCAAGAGTCAGTCCAACAGGCTGACCCAGGACGTGTTGTCTGGGTCTCAGGCCCCGTTCGCTAACTCTGCGCTCCTGTGGAGATGCTGCAGGAGCCTCCCCTCCTTCCTCGAAATCGAAGATGGAGCCGCGGGCTCTAACACGGCCACGGCTGCGGCGGGAAGGGGACAGGAGGCCGCGTGGCCAAGGGACAGTGACGTGTCCGGGGCGAGGGAGGCCGGAGCTGGCGGAAAGCACAGAGCCCGGCCGCGGGCACCGAATGACGGCGCCTGTGGCCCTTCCTGAAACCCAGTGGCAAACCCACACCAAAAGCCGTGTCCATCTTCCACCATCACCCATGCGTGGGTGGTTTCTCAAACAGAGCAAGTGTTTGGCTCTACTCAAGCCAAAAACAAAAGGACTTTTCCCTCTGCGAGACAGCAGGCTCCTTTCTCAGAGACCTTCTCACCCAGCGCTGCAGCCTGGAGACCTGGGGATCGCCCTCTCTTCTTCCTGGGCTGGAAACCAGTATCTGTTCCTCAGAAGGCAGGTCCCCAAGCAAGGTCCTAAGCCCTGAGCTCAGTCTTCTTGCAGAAAAGAGATCCTGCAGTCCCTGCAAGCCCCCGCATCTCGCCGCGTGCATCCCCGCCGGGCTCCGGCAGATGCCATTCCCGGCCGCTCCGCACCAGGCACTCCCACGCGCGTTCCCCGCTCTCCTCCCGCCGCGACGCAGCAGGGCCCGAGCGCGGCGCCGGCGAGGTGGGCACGTTCCTACCCCCGAACACGCGAAACCCGGGCACCAACGCAAGCAGCGCCCGCATGGGGAGAGCGCTACCGCTCTTTGACCGGTGCAGGACTAACGTGCACGCTCTTGCAAGCGCCC